ATATAATTCAGTAGGTAAACAGATTGTTGTTTAAATCTTCATGAAATTGTGATTTTGAATAAGAAAAAAGAAGAATTAATTATTATTATTTTTAATAAGCCATGAAGAAGGGTGGGATTAAATAAGTTTTTTTTACTTCTTCCCATTCCTTTTCAATTATGTTAATTTCATTATTATCATTTTTTAATCATTGTTTTATTTTGTTTTCCATGTTTGAAATAAATAAATTAAAAATAATAATAATAATTTGTATTCCAGTTTCACAAATATTTTTCAGTTTCAAATCTCCTTTTTTCAGTTTCAAATTTTTTGAACAAAACATATGACACAAATTTAGCTGCATATAGACAACCCCTTCTCCCTGAGAGCTCTGAAAATTGAATTATTTCTTACCAGTGTGACTTCTTTTCTTTTGTGATTTTAGCTATACCCAATAAAACCAGTTTAACACAATTTTGGGACCTTTGTTTTTTTAATTAACTGATTTATTTATTTTTTATTTGATTTTGTTTTTGTTTTCCCGACCTGAATCTGCTTTGACCTCTGACCTCACCTCTGCCCGGTGCTGCCCCCTCCGGCAGACTATATAAATGTCGGAGTTGCTGGGCTCCGACCTCCAGTAGAACTTGCTGGTTCTGGTTCATCTACAGAGCGCTTCTGTCGGGTTTCCTGTGTTTTCCGTTGTCCGGCGTCTCTGACCGCTTGGAGAAAAAGACGCACGAGGTGCTTTTTGTTTGATGCATTAATTAGTGCCGACACGGTCGCGTGCGGTCATCACGTTCAAGGAAATTATGTATTGATAAACGTTTGGAGACCGACTGGCTGGTGATTTTACACACAAATACACCAAAGTTCGTCCTTAATTAGAAGGGTCAAGATGACAGTTTTAAAATATTAAGGAGTAGAATCGCTCTTTTAATTATTACGTTATTTAAAAAAAAAAAAAGTTTACTCCCAAACTGGGCGAATCGCGCGAGTTGTAAGGTTAAGGCCTAATTTACCTAATTTAGCAGCGCGTGAATGTCTTTGTAACAGTTTTTATAGCTCGTCCCCCCACGGAGCTGTTTATCTCCAGCTGACTGTCTTCTTCCACTTCCAGCAGGACCAGCATGGTGCAGCTGTCTCCGTCCCCCACACTGGATGTCACTGACACACCCGCGCCCCCGGCCGCAGCKGCTGAGGGGGAGCAGGGGGGTCCAAATGTGAGCTCACCTGTGGAGCCGTTAAACCTGGACGTGTCCACCCCCTACCCTGGATATGAGGCCTACATAGAGGACGGGCTCATCTGCCTGAAGCACAAAGTCCGGAACCTGGAGAAGAAGAAGGTAGGGTGTTTGTGACGCCGCACAGGTGGGGACAGGTGGGGACAGGTGGGGACAGGTGGGGACAGGTGGGGACAGGTGGGACAGGTGGGGACAGGTGCCCCGGGGGTCTGTCAGCATCTCCTTCTCCTCATCCACAGATGAAGCTGAAGGACTACCAGAAGAGGCTGAGCCAGGGAGAGGCCCTCAACCAAGACCAGATGGTGAGACTGGTYAGCCATAATCATGACTCTGATGGTCCTGGTGTGTTCACTGCCTCCTGCTTGTTTCATCAGGCGGCCGTGGAGAAGTACGAGGAGGTGGTCCACAACCTGGAGTTTGCAAGAGAGCTGCACAAAACCTTGGATGGTCTCACCCAGAGTGTAAGTGTTTGTCTCCAGATACAGTCAGATAATGGCACTCAAAATCTATTAGTGTTTTACAGTATTCAAGCCAGCCTGTTTGACAAAATTAAAATGGACTTTTTCATGTCTCTACTTCTCTTACGAACTTGCTTTTTGCTGATATGTAGGTGGAATACCAATTATTTTAGGTGAGCTACTTGGCTGGGGGAAAAAAAAGCTTTTTAACCTTAATAATATAGGAGAAAATTTCAAGGTGACCGCAAAACTAAATTACTTGAGGTAAATTTATCTCCTTCGTTTAATAAAAGTCTTTGAATTATCGATTCTAGCTTTTGTTCTATAGGCTGCTAGTAGGGATGTTGACATTTCGTCAGCAGCTGCTGCTGTTTTCTTCCCAAACTGCTGTGAGCAGATTTTGCAAGGCTGCTCGGTGCGTTTGCTCCTCCTGCTTCGTTATTTCTACGAATTTCAGCAAATCGTGCCGACGTCAGGTAGTTAGCTACAGCCTCGTCTTCCAGTTTTTAATTTTTGTTGATGCGTTTTGAAGAGACAGTTTTTTCAAAAGAGGATCAAAGTCAATCACCTGAGGTTTTTTTAGTGACTCCTTAAAAAGATAAGCTGCCATGAAGAACATTATTTTATCTGCCCTTGTTCCTAATTTGATTTGAAACATCTAAGTATGTTTTTTTAAATCTGGAACAGCACTTGTTAGTAAAGTGTTTTGACGCTCATCTTCATCACCTGACACATTTAACACACTGTCATTGGTTGAGGAGCTTTGTTTACAAAACAGATCACATGGTTTTTAAATTGTTTTAATTTCCTTATTTTCTAAGACATATTAAGTTGATTTGATGCTCCAGTTTGCCTTGTAATGTCATTTTATACCTTTTCTGCTACTTTTGATTTGGCTATTATTAAGTATTATTAGTTTTATGATACAAGATGCTTTCAACAAAAACCAGAATGTGAATCTTTTCCTATAATTTCACGGTGATATCGTCAACACTGAGGAAGTTATGAGCAAAAATAGATAAGAACCAGGTGAAATGGTCACACATTGGTTCTGCTGTGAACTGCAGCAAGAAAACATGAGCTGATTTCACCTAAAACATCAATAACTTCCCTCATACTTCAGATCATCACATGATTTTGGTGTTATTTTGTATGGTTTGTAATGTTATTTTGCAATCTGCTGTCACATTTAATATTGGTGTAAGATAAAAAATGTATCCACATCCCTACTACTAGTATGAATATGGTTTTTTCTTCTGTTCTGAGGTTTCAATAACGGATGGAGATCGCTCCTAGATGATCCATTAAAGTGGATCATTTCTGTTTTTACTTTTGAAAATGTTCAAGTCACAAGGTTAATTTTGTTACTTAGTTTGCCTGGGTTTTTGTTTTGTTCTGCATCAATAGCCTCCAGAGAAAAGTTCAGGGAAAAGGAGCAGATTATTTATTTATTTATTTATTTATTTATTTATTGGAGCTGTCAGCTGATCTTCAGACATTTCCTAGAAATTAAAACAGTGTTTCCTTAAGTTTCTATTGGTCAATCAAAGTGATCATGGTTATTGAGTTAAATATTTAACTAATATGACATTTTTTTAAACTAACATTTATGTAATGTTCACGCATCAGAGACAGTGTTTTTAATCAGCTGATTTCAGGTTACATAATCTACAGCATGCTAAAAATGTATTTTCTTTTGACCAGTATAAAAGTGATATGCTTATTTAAATTTAACTTTTATTTGTAGGAAGTGGTAGAAATAGATTTTCATAATTGGGATTTTCCCGGTTAAATAAAGGTCAGTAAATAAATCTATCAATCCATCCATCATTAGCTTTGTATCAGTTCCAAACATCCACATATCGATCTTATAAATAAATGTAAAAAAAAATCTCCTAAACTTGTTCGGGATAATTTCACATTAATTTAATTATCTGAGTCATAACTGAATTTAAAAACAGGACGATGCACCTAGTTATTAAATCAGGTGTTTATTTATGTAGGTAAAAGTATCTTTAACAACCTGTTAAAATACATTAGAAATCAGGAAATGGCCTCTACTTTATTCAAAGATTTCTGGGGGAGGACTCCCAGACCCCCCTCCAGTGTATTCTTTAACAAAGGCTTCAGAAGTCTTGTACTTTGTGTAGAGAGTATAAACACACCCTGTAGTGCTCTACCTGTGTGTCTGCTGTATGAAACTATGGTTGATTGTCAAACTGTATTCTTAGTGAGTTTAAAGGGCTGGTACAGTACATGGTTAAATAAAAGTGAACATAATCTCAGTTTATATGGGTTGAGTATTATCGCACCACAACAGAAACATTTGGTGTTCAGTTGTTGACGAGTGCAGACAGTTAAACTGAGCACACATTGAAGACATGCTGAGTGTTGGTGGTTTGTGTTAATCAGGTGGTGATGGCTAGGGGTGTAAGAAAATATTGATACACTGAAGTATCGCGATATTTCATTTCCCGATACTGTATCGATATTCTAAAGCCCTGTATCGATATGTAATTAAGGTTTAAAATGTCAACTTTCCTGCCAGCCGTTTATTTTTGTTGTTGTTCAGCCTCTGACCACTAGTTGGCAGCAGTGAGCCAGCCATTTGGCTCGTCTACCGCTTGAGCACCAGAGAGTAAGGGTAGCATTAGCATTGTGAGTAAACATTAGCTTCATGCTCCGATAGCTGAATCTGAGCGGAAAAGACCGACACCCTCTGCCTTCTAAGCTGAGGTAAGGTTACGAACAGTTACTTATTTGTCACAATGTCTGGATTTTAAACCAAATTAAGTGTCTCGTGCGCTCTTTTTTCCAATTTTAGTCAGCCTTCACGTTACAGAAGGCTAGTGCATGTCTATGTAATAGAATTTTCTGAGACAATGAATTTTGGTTTTTCATTTTTTTTCCAGTCAGAGGTTTTTATTTAATAGAATTTTTGGACCAAAAAAATCGCAATATATCACCTTGCTTACAGTATCGCAGTATATCGGGATATATCGTATCGTGACCCCTCTGTCATGATATGTATCGTATCGCCAAATTCTTGCCAATACACAGCCCTAGTGATGGCCTGAGATGGTACCACGTTCCCGGCCTGGATTATTGTACCAGTCCACCACTGTTTGTAACTATTGTTTTCAACTGTAGACAGCATATGGCATTCATATTTATGTTTTGGCCATATTCTTGGCAACAACAGAAAAACCGGGTTGCACAACTGTGGGTGTGTCAGACCCCGTCCCCAACGGCGCATCCCCACTAACTTTCTACACAAAGTTACTCCCCTGCCCCTGGAACATTGTTAAGCTGCTGTTGGATATCAGTCTGTTCATGCCACACACCCCTTTTCATAGGGGCAAAGTTTTTCAGCTCCTCCAGTCAACTTTGAGCAATCAAACCAAACCTCCATTGTGTTAAAAATGGGTGGAAATTAGCAAACGCCACTGGCTAAATGCGGGTAAAATTATGAAGTGGCATGTAGATCTGAACAACGCACCCGCCACCGTGGCGGGTGTGTAATGAACTAAAAAAATTGCGTTTCAAATCACGCTACTGAAAACCTCAGTTTCGTTTTTATTTTGCATTTCAGAGCCTGTAGGATGTTAAAAAACATTAAGTAACATCATCTTCCAACCTGCTCTGCAGCTAGGAATAAATTCCCCCCTCCCCCTTTCCTGCGCGCTGTCAACTGTGGTCCGCCTGCCCACCCACATCAACCCCCCTGCCCCCCCGTGCGCACATTATACAGGTAAACGTCCGATTATCAGAAGGAGAAAATAAAAACACCAACTTTAATGTGGCGTTACATGTCTGGACTTAATCAGGCAGCAAGTATCAGAACCCTTTCTCAAGAGGAACCAAAAGAAAAACCGAAAGTTGCAGGGATTTTTTTTTTTTACAATAAATGGAAAGGGGGGGGGGGACAATAGTGAATTTAACAGGGCAGTTAATTTTGTTCCTTTTGTCAGCAAACAGAAAAGCTGAACTGTAGGCTGGCATCAAGAGCAAAAACCTGAAATCAGCTGATTAAAAACACTATAACTGCCAATGCATGAATATACATAAATGTTAGTTTAAAAAAACTTCATATTAGTTGTTAAATATTTTTAACTCAATAACCATGATCACTTTGACCAATAGAAACTTAAGGAAAAGCTATCTTTTAATCTCTAGGAAACATCTGAAGATCAGCTGACAGCGCCAAAATAAATAAATAAATAATCTGCTCCTCCTTTTCCCTTTGCTTTTCTCTGCAGGCTATTGATGCAGAACAAAACAAAAACCCAGGCAAACTAAAATGAACCTTGTGACATGACCTTTTTCAAAAGTAAAAATAGAAATGATCCACTCTGAGACAATGGATCATCAGAGGGATTTCCAYCTGTTATTGAAATCTCACTTAGAACATAAGAAAGACACATATTCATACTAGTAGCTTATAGAACAAAAACTACAAGTGATAAAAGGCAAAGGCTGATTTTATTAAATGAAGGAGATAAATTTACCACAGGCAATTTAGTTGTAAGGTAATTTAGGTTTTCTTTTCACCTTGAAAATTTATTTCCAGCCAAGTATCCTACCTAAAATAATTGGTATTCCACACATACCAGCAAAAACCAAGTTGGTAAGAGAAGTAGAGACTTCAAAAAGTCCATTTTAATCTTGGGCAAACAGGCTGGCTTGAATACTCTAAGACAATAATAGATTTGAGTGCCATTATCTGATTGTAGCATAAACAATTTAATTAGGCCACCAGAACCATGAATTGTCTAAATGCCACCGTGTTACAGAAACAAACAAAAAAAAAATATATAGTGGCTGGTAAAAAGTTTGAGTGGTCGGTACAAAATTTTTCTACCAGCCACTGTGGCTGGTGGGGAAAATTTTTTAATTCCACCCCTGGTTAAAAAGTATAAAATAGTCCAACTTTTAATTATTCAAAAATGGGAAACAATGGAACAGTTTAGTTTAGAATTTGATTTGATTTTGATTTATTTATTTAACAGGAAAAGATTATTGAAAATCAAGCCTGACTCAGCATAATTGCTGTTTTACAGCAGGTTCCTGTTCTGCAGCACATAAAACACTCAGAATTACAGCATCACAATCAAACCGGTAACTGACTATTAATAGATTCAATATTGAAATCAGACAAAAAAAGAACAGTATCATCAGCATGCATTAAAATATTTGAATACTTTAATATTTTTGAAAGGTCATTTATAGGGCTGTGTATTGGCAAGAATTTGGCGATACGATACATATCATAACGGAGGGGTCACGATACGATATCCCGATAT